TTTAAAAATTGTTCTCAGGTGCTCGGTTCGCTCATATTCAGAGCAAGGTTGGCCTGACGACGATACTACGCGATCACAAAGTCGACGTTTGTGAGAAAACCACGATTCCGTTCGAACCTGACGAGCGTGCCTTTTTGTTAACATTGAAAGGTGGTGTGAATTTAAAGATATCCAAAGTGCCGAGTTAAAGTTAATGCAAATAATTGTTCCATCCTTTTATCGTAATTTTCATACTCGCAATTATTTTAAATATATTTTTATTGTTTTGTACGGATTTTTATAAACAGTTTCGAGATGTGAATATATTTAAATGTTACGCATCTGTATTTTCAAAAATTTCAAGCTTTCAGACGTGTATCTATCTGTCAATATCTGCCTTTGTAATTGTTTAATCCAGTAGGAAACATAGACAGATGCTTGTCCATGACTTAGGTATGAAAAAAATTTGTTTAGAGACGTTTGAATTGTTAAAATTTTTGAGAATAAAGGTGTCCTTTTTTTTCTCATCTGCGTCTTGTAATAATATCTTCGACTCTTCCTCTCCTTCTTTCAATAATATCTCGACTAAAATTCTTGCTGTTCAAACAAAATTAGAAACATAATTTAGAACTTAAAATAAACTTTCCTCTAGTGTTTTCTTTTTATTTTCTACCAAGGATAAATAATTTAATTAAATTAAATTTAAGTAGCTTAATTCATTCAAGGTAGTATAATTCGCGTGTCAATGTAACGTAAGGTAAAGTAATTATTAAATGTTATTGCTAGAGTGTGAGAATTTATAGAAAATTTGAACCTGTAAAAACGAGACGCAAAAATATATATAAAACGTCCAAAGTGAGGTATTTCTTGTAATATTTAGTAAAAGAATCAAATTTCTCATTAGCTTCTATTTCTTCAATTAAGGAAGTTTTTGAATGTCCGATAATACATAAAAATTCGCACTCTAGTTATAATAAAGTAACATATCAAAAGTTTCAAAGAGTTTTGCCATTTCCTTGCAACGTGCAAACAAATATCCCGCTTTCCAGGATAATAGATAAGACATACCTAATCGTATTTACATTAATTAGTCTCAATAGTATTATCAAAATACTGTCATAGTATTTTCGATTATATTAATCTTAAATTAATAATAACATTGAACTATTAGTCGATGATAATAATTTTAAATCAGCTTCTATTATCTTTAGATGAATTTACAATTATTATATTGCCTACTGTTTAATTCGTATTAGAGAGAAGATAACTTTTTTAAAAATGTTCATTCAAAAAAATGACTTTTTATTCCACTTATACATATATCACATGATCGTCTCTGATATCGCCGAGAAATTATTTTACCAAAGCAACTTTATCTTCAGTTGATAAAATCGTTTAGCATTTTTCAGTTGATAAGCTGACCACGATCAGCAGGAACGACACTGACATTCAGAATACAGAATGAACTGAATCAGCCTAGTTATTTGCAACATTGGCTGTGAGATAGAAGCTACGTTTCGTAAGGAAGGCTTGATTTCCATATATAACGAGTCAAGTAAGTGTATATCGTATCGTATTAACATTGTATTTGGTTGTCAGCGAAATTAAAAATTTCAGTATGTACACAGATATACATGTTTCATCTGATTTTGGCATTTTAATTGCGTCGCTGTTACTGCTCGTACTGCGAAAACTGTTCGAATTGAATAGTGATTTATTATGTGATTATTATTGATTTATTTGTGTCAAAGGTATTAATAGTTTTAACTTTGTTGTCATAAAATCTGTTTTTATAAATTTTTATAAAAATCTGTCCTTATAAATCATTGAACGCCCTCGTCTTTCTTTGTCTTTCGCAAACAGAAATTAAAGTTATGAGCTAATTGTTTTTCGACATTGTTTTATAGAGGATGAAGAATTGCATTAATTGGCATGCAAAAAAAGATGTGAGATTTCAATTTAAAAAAAAAAAAACAGAGTTGACCTTCGTAATACAAGTTGACCTCCATTTCGAACTAGTGATATTATAATCAATTGACTAAAAATAGCTAGTTAGTCAGTGCTATAATATGCTCTCTCTCAACATCGTTCAACTTCGATCCGAGAATTTTTCATCAGAACAGCGACGCCATCAAGACGAAATATTTTGTATAGATAAAACTTTACGATCGTTTTGCACAACGAACGTTATCTGTTGGCAATGATCAGGAAATGATATTGATTACAAACAAATCTTTACGCATTTTACACTTTATGCGACAATTAGATAATTATTATTGAGTAATAAGTATTATTAAACAATTAGGTAATTAATATTATGGTTGAAATTTGATTACTCAATTATTACAGTATAAGTAATTCAATTATAGTTAAATTATTAATTAATTTCTTAGAATTATTAAGTAATTTAATTATACATTCAATATGATTTTTATCATACATTAATCATTAACTATTGGTGAAATTAAATTGATTAGTAATTATTACTAAAGTTTCTTTGATTGTAGTCGATATATCAAAATTTAATTGTTCCATTCATGAACAATTTCACGAATGAAGTATGATGAATATCTGATGATAATTAATTACCTACATCTTATCATCTTATCATTTACGCTATAATTAATTACCTACATCTTATCATCGTATTGAGTGTGTTTGTCAAGATTATCAATCCTTTTTGTTTTCATAGTACACTTGGTATAACATAAATTAGTTCAGTCTTACGAAACTTATCTTACAAATCTTCAAAAGTTATAAACTTTATTACTTTTATTTCATTGGAAGATGATTCATTCTCTAGATAAATAAATAAGATCTATATCAGATTTTTAAGAACGTCTCGTGATCATCCATCACGGTTGCTAGTTCCATTTATAGTAGTTCATGATAGTCATCATCATTATCTACTTTAGAACGCTGTTTGCTACTACGACGAATTATAGTATGTATTATTTGAGATGTCTAAAGCTTGGTTATTATTTTGAATAAAATATTTGAAAAACTGATCATTTAAATAACATATCGATACAAATAATTCTACGTTAGTTTATTAACTAGTTATAGTTCAAATTAATAAATAAACTAACTATTAGTCAATTTGAACAAGTAATTTTTCTCAAAATTATTTCATTTATTTGGCCATCGAGTGAAATAATTTTTAATCTTACTTCGCATTTTGTCATTAACTGTTTCTACATGTAATTTCATAAATAATTCCTGATTCTACCCATCTTTTATTATTGTGATTATTTGTTATTTAATTTTAACAAATTAACTTGGATAAAAACTTACTTGCAATTGATTTATTTAATTCGAAGATCCAAAATAAATCAATTGTCCAATGAGATTAATATATGAGTGGAAATGATTCGTCATTTTAAATTGTTATTTCTTATTCTCATTTCAAATAAAATTTGCCCAACCCACTTAATGATGGGATCAAGTCCAATATGTTTGATATCTAAATTTTGTTTCATGAATTTTAAATGTTACTTGAAAGTGTCTCAGTACATTTATTACTGTATTCAATCTGATTTCGAACTCCAGGCCACTTAATAATGGCTGAACAAAAATATTGGCACGCCTGATTTTTTATCTTGAAGAAAACAAATGATATATTTGATATTTAAGCAAAAATCTGTTTCCATAAATAGCAATTTCCAATAACGAGTTACACGACACAATAATACAAAAAAACTGAGCGAGTCAATAAAACATAAATTTCCATTTAGTTTCATTTTCTCTTCACAGTGTTTGTCAAATCAAACAACTAAAAACTCGAAGGTAGTCTAGCTCTCACAGCCAGACGACTGCAATTAACATTTTGTACGTTTTAGAAACTTTTGTAACGCAAATGCTAATTCTAGTTCAATTCGAAGTTTTCAGAAAATCCGGCGCAACATGGATTATTTTCAACTCTTCTGCAGCATCGGTACCCTATTTCTCGCCATCTACTATTACTACGTATCGACTTACAAGTTTTGGAAAAGACTCGACATACCGGGACCTAAACCGATATTGTTCTTCGGTAACTTCTTCGACATCATCTTTAAAAAACTATCGGTAGCCGATTATCTGAAGAAGTTGTACGATCGATACAAGCATGAGCCACTCTGTGGAATATACACAGGAATGTCGCCACTTCTTGTCATCAATGATCTGGACATGATCAAAACTGTCCTCATCAAGGACTTTGCTTTATTCGCCAACCGTGGTTTCAGAGTATTTGAAAAGGTAACTACCAATTAAGAATTTTGATTAATTGTAACATGGCAATTGAAATATAATATCAATATAGGCATAATTAATATTTAATTGAATATAATTATAAACAAACGTATTAAGTTGCATTATAGTATATAATGCGAATAGAATATTAAGATATTATGATCGCATGACACGTGATATTATATGATAATTATTAATTAATAATTGTAATAACTAATGTATTTATAATAATATTAATATAAATAACATTTCTTATTTTCTGTTTATTTTTTGTTATGACTCACACGTTCAGAACCACAACGAATTCAAAGATCATCGAAATTACCAGAACTTATACTAAATTAATTAATCAAATTGGTTACCGGTGGTAATGACAATAATTTATTACTTACTCATCGAAATAATAAAGTAATTTAATTAACTAACTTATTAAATTAAGGATTAATTTGTTAAATCAATCAGTCAGAGATTTATTTACTACTAGATAGAACCACTGGCGCAAAATCTCTTCATGCTCGAAGCGGAGAAATGGCGGCCCTTGAGGACGAAACTGTCGCCGATATTCACATCCGGCAAGCTGAAGGACATGTTTCCGCTGATAGCCGACTGTGCGAAAAATTTGGAAACGTACTTAAACAAATTGGTGGAGAGGAACGAGCCAGTGGACTGTCGCGATCTGGCCGGTAAATTCACGACAGACACGATCGGCGGCTGCGCCTTCGGGCTCGAGATAAATTCCCTCGGGAACGAAAACTGCGAATTTCGTAAAGTCAGCGCCAAGATGTTCACGCCCTCGTTGAAACAGTCGATACGCGACATGTGCCGGGAACTCACACCATCGTTGTACGAGTTAATCGGCTCTTATCTCCAAGTAAAGGACATCGACGATTTTTATATAAATCTGTTCACCGGCACGATGAAATACAGAAAGGAGAATAACGTAGTCAGGCCAGACTTCGTCCACCTGCTGATGGAACTGAAGAAACAGCAGGATAAGTTTGACAATATAGGTGAGCCGACACATGGTGTTTTCATGGCATGAAAATTTTCCTCGCTTCATTCTCGGAAAAAATCGATCTTGCGAGACATAAGGAACATAGAGGAACATATTTCACAAGTTTCTAACACGTTGTATAAATTCTATATATATATATATATATATAT